GGAACTTCAGAGGAGTGAGGGAAAGAGAATGCTGGAAAAGTAGGCCGTGGTCATCTTTTGAAGAGCCCTAGGTTGTCTTTATTGCACAGGCAGTGGGGAGAGGTAAAGGGGAAGTGACAAATTCAAGCCTGTGTTTTAGGAGGGTGACCACTGCAGCAGACCAGGTGAGTGGGAAGAGAGGTAGAGGGGAAGACAAGGGGTGGAGAAGCATTTCAGGGAGATGGTGACGGGACTGGGGATCAATTGGATGGGAAGTCTAATCAATAGAAAAGAATCCAGAAAGACAGGTGTAACCTCTAGTTTTTGGCCTGAGTAAAGAATGGTGATAACCAGGCAACCAAAACTAAGAGCTGAGGAAGAGGGGCTCCTGGGTGGCTCAGCTGGTTAAGTGTCTGACTCTTGGGATTGGGACTGAGTGCAGAGCCTGCTTGGGATTCTTTCTCTGCCCCTCCCCTGCTTGCGCTCTCTGTCTCTGTCTCTGTCTCTCTCAAAATAGGTAAATGAACTTTTAAAATATGTGTAAAATAGCAATCCCTATCAAAATAACACCAGCATTCTTCACAGAGCTGGAACAAACAATCCTATAATTTGTATGGAACCAGAAAAGACCCCGAATAGCCAAAGCAATCTTGAAAAAGAAACCCAAAGGTGGAGACATCACAATTCCAGACTTCGAGCTGTATTACAAAGCTGTAATCATCGAGACAGTATGGTACTGGCACAAAGACACTCAGATCAATGGAACAGAATAGAGAACCCAGAAATAGACCCACAAATGTATGGCCAACTAATCCTTGACAAAGCAGGAAAGAGTATCCAGTGGAATAAAGACAGTCTCTTTGGCAAGTGGTGCTGGGAAAACTGAACAGCAACATGCAGAAAAATGAACCTGGACCACTTTCTTACACCCTACACAAAAATAAACTCAAAATGGTTGAAAGACCTAAATGTAAGACAGAAAGCCATCAAAATCCTCAAGGAGAAATTAGGCAAAAACCTCTTTGACCTTGGCCACAGCAACTTCTTACTCAACATGTCTCTGGAGGCAAGGGAAACAAAAGCAAAAATGAACTATTGGGACCTCATTAAAATAAAAGTCTTCTGCACAGCAAAGGAAACAATCTGCAAAACCAACAACCGACAGAATGGGAGAAGATATTTGCAAATGACATATCAGATAAAGGGTTAGTGTCCAAAATCTATAAAGAACTTATCAAACTCAACACCCAAAAAACGAATCCAGTGAAGAAATGGGCAAAAGATATGAATAGACACTTCTCCAAAGAAGACATCCACATAGCCAACCAACACATGCAAAAATGCTCCATATCGCTCACCATCAAGGAATACAAATCAAAACCACAATGAGATGCCACCTCATACCTGTTGGAATGGCTAGCATTAACCACTCAGGCAACAACAGATGATGGCGAGGATGCGAAGAAAGAGGGTCTGTTTTGCACTGCTGGTGGGAATGCAAACTGGTGTGGCCACTCTGGAAAACAGTATGGCAGTTCCTCAAAAAATTAAACATAGAACTACCCTATGACCCAGAAATTGCTCCACTAGGCATTTATCCAAGGGATACAGGTGTGCTGCTTTGAAGGGACACATGCGCCCCCATGTTTATAGCAGCACTATCGACAATAGCCAACGTATGGAAAGAGCCCAAATTTCCATCAACTGATGAATGGATAAAGAAGATGTGGTATATCTATACACTGGAGTATTACTCGGCAATCAAAAAAGAATGAAATCTTGCCATTTGCAACTTCATGGATGGATCTAGAGGGTATTACGCTAAGTGAAATTAGTCAGAGAAAGACAAATATCATATGACTTCACTCATATGAGGAGTTCAAGATACAAAGCAGATGAACATAAGGGAAGGGAAGCAAAAATAATATAAAAACAGGCAGGAGGACAAAACATAAAAGACTCTTAAATATAGAGAACAGAGGGTCGCTGGAGGGGTTGTGGGAGGCGGGGTGGGCTACATGGGTAAGGGGCATTCAGGAATCTACTCCTAACTTGGATGTAAATTAATAAATGAATAAATAAATAAATAAATTCATATATACAAATAATATACATATAAATAAATAAATTCATATATACAAATAAATTTATATAAATATATACAAATAAATTTATATAAATAAATAATTTATGAATAAATATATAAATAAAAATAAAATAAAACTTTTTATTAAAAATAAAATTTATATATATGTAAATAAATATATATACATATACATATATATGTAAATAAATATATAAAAATAAATATATATTTATAAATATAAATATTATATATATATATTTATAAATATAAATATATAATATTTATATATAAACATATATAAATATAAATATATAATATTTATATATAAACATACGTACATATATATGTAAATAAATATATATACACATACATATATATAAATATATATATGTATGTATATATATGTATATATATATTTATATATATGTATGTGTGTGTGTATATATATATATATATATATATATACATATATATACATAAAATAAAAGCCAAGGAAAAGAAACCGGTCTGTGAGGACGGCTAACGAGCTGGGCCTCGGACATAGCTTAAAATGCCGAGAACACACCATGGGCAACCAGAAGGCAATTAGATATCGAGGCCTGCTGCCCAGGGAAGCCGCAGAAGGGCTACACGGAGCCTGAGAGGCTGCCGTGGCGGTGAGGTGCTCTACAGTACACGGGAAAAAAGACCTCTGAGACGTCACCTGCTTGGAAAAGTCAGAGGGCTTGTCTATCCGAGCACTAGTTGCTGGGACTCCTGGATGACACCCGGATTTGGCCACCCCCGGGCTGAGCACAGCAGCCCCCCTCCCTTCTTCCCTGGCTTCAAGCCCCAGCCAGCTTCTCCCCGCATGCCTTGGCATTCTCTCCGGTCCCCCAAAGCCTGTGTGCACCCCCCACAGGTAGGAAAACCAGGCCAGAGAGAACAAACGAGAAAACCTCGACTATGAGTTGTTTCGCAGGGGGCTGGCCTCCACCTGAAAGCGGACAGAATGAATTTCCCATTCACATCCTTTCTAGAGCCTTTCATCGGCTCCTTATTGCCCTAAGCATGAAGCCCAAAGACCTTGGCCGGCATGCACATCCTTGCAGACTGCGTTTGTGAGCCCCTGCCCTGTGCCCTCCAGCCCACACTCCAGTCGTGCAATCCGAACCTGCCTTCAGCTCCAGCCCTGCCTCTTCACGCCCGCAGGGCTCTGTTCTCGCTGCTTCCTCAGGATTCAGGCCTCCCTCTGTCCCTTGACGGTCAAAGTTTATCTTCTCGTCTTTCAGAATATAAGTGGAGGGTGAGCTCCTCTAGAGAGGTTTCCCGAAGTCTCTAATACCTTCGCCGCCCTGTGTGCACTTGACCACTGCCATCCGGTACAGTTCTGTACTCCTTCTGATTTCTAACGCATCGTCTTTAGGTTTTAGAATAGGATTCCTCTCTCAGGGTCTTTGCAAACACACATGGGAGTAACGTATTGGGCGGTACGTTCTCAATAAATGTTACTAGTATCATATCAGCGCTTGCTTGCTATTATCTACTTACCTGTCTGTCTCCCATATAAAATGGTCCCCCTCTAGGGACACGAGGGACTAGCCATACGGTTCCATGTTTTCCCAGGGCCTTCAGACAGAGCCTGGCACACAGCAACACTCGTCTCCTATTACTCTCAGTCTTGCTCCCCTCCTCTTAGCCACACTCTCCCCATTGCTATTTCTGGAACATTTCAGGTACACTCAGGTCTCAGGGTGTTGGCACTGGCTTATCCCCCTCTACCCAGTTGGTTCTTCCAGATACGGACCTGCCTCACACCTTCCTGACCTTCTAGCCTTTGCTGCCATGTTATCTTCTCAAAGAGGCCTATGCTTACCACCCATTCAAGTCGCAAACCCTCCCTATGCAATTTATCTCTGCATTATATTTGTCGGATGAAGAGATGGGTGAATGTTTATTAAATTGATCTAGTGAAGTTACAAAGAAAAAAACAATCATGCGAGGTTGTTTGAGCCACAGCCCTTACACTGTGGTTTCCGATCCTGCTGTAGAAAGTAAATGGGAAAACAAACCCAAAACCTTTGGATTCCAATCATTATTGGTTAGCCCGTGATCCTCACTCAACAAACCTCCTTGTCTTCCCATACCGCTTTCCTCCTCCTAGAAACTTCCCTTCACCAGCTCAAGCAGTCCAGGCAATACGATCAGAATCCACTGAGGACTTCCAATCAAGTCAGAAAGATCCTTTCTGGATGACTGCCTCTGAAAAGAAGGGGCTCCTTGGGGGAGAACTTTCCCCACAAAATCAACAATAAGAAAAAGTCATGCACAGAGGCCTTCTGATAACAGTTATCTACACAGGCCCATCGGCTCACAGACTTCCTTTTCCATGCAGTGCACAAAAAATGCACTTGTGGGGCGCCTGGGTGGCTCAGCTGGTTAAGTGTCTGATTCTTGGTTTTGGTGCAAGTCATGATCTCACGTTCATGAGTTAGAGCCCTGCGTCGGGGTCAGTGCTGCTGGTGTGGAGCCTGCTTGGGATTCTCTCTCTCTCTCCCTCTCTCTCTGTCCCTGCCCTGCTCTCTCTCTCTCTCTCCCCCTCTCAATAAATAAACTTAAAAAAAAAAAAGATAAGGGGCACTCAGGAGCATCTAGTGCTGGCAAGTATATACAGACAGAATTTTCTAGGGCTGGAATTAATGGGAGAACTTAGGAAGAGGGTGACAGACACCAAAATTTCACACAGCTATTTGTGATTGTGGCAGAATCTTCCCCCACCTCCCGTATTCTCACTGGGGTCCTTTCCCTCCTTGTCTTTTAAGATCTGTTTCTAGAGGCATTGGAACACTGTGATCTGTGGGTCGCGATAGCAAGAGGTTTCTGGAACACTGAGAATCGGATTATTCACAAATAGATATCAGAGTCAAAGATGAATCCCAGGCCACCATGAAAAAGATTTGCCTGAAGCTGAATCAATTTCATTGACATTTCTATTGCCAGGATGGCTTAATTCAGAAGGGTTGCATTTTTTGCTAGAAAATATTGAAAATTAGAGTTCTAGTGTCTATGATATTTCTGGGCACCAAATTGGGGTAACAAGAATAATGGGGGTCCTTAGAGAGAGGTTGACTGTAGAAGTACATGTCACCAGGCTTCTTCATTCACTGTGACGGGGAGAAAATGCTCCTTAAGATCCTCTGCCTCCCTGGACCCCACTTCTGCTTCACAGAAACCTACAAGGGAAGAATGTCCCTTGCAGAGGGTCACAGGTCACAGGTGTTCCTTCACCAGGATACAGATATTTATCACTGTGGGTTAGGCTTCGATATTCTGAAGTTTTGTTACTGTCGGTCTTCCTGCATCGTTGTGAGAGGCAAGTGAGATACTCCGATGGAGCCTGAAGAGTAATAGACAAACTTTTCAATCCCTGGAGCTAAATAGGAGTAAGAAAAAAAAAAAACCCTGAACACAGTAATAACTATAGCAAATTCAAGCGGGAAAGGAGAACACAGAGACACCTTAGGAACTGTAGAAACTGAGGTTTTCAGAAATCTGAAGTGGCGACAGTTTTTTATCTCACAAGTCATAATTTTTAGCTCCTCATTCTCATGAGAAATAGAAACTTCTTGGCGGCTCTTCCTGCCCATGGGTCCTGTCCTGGGGCTTTAATAAAATCAAAAACTATAGGAAGAAAGTGGACCATTCAGTGTCTGGTACATAGTATTGTACTGTTTGTTGAGCAATCAGATGAATGAACGCACTGATATGAAATAAAACAAATGAAGAGGTCTATTTAGGGGAGCCACCCTTCCACTTGTTGCCGATCTGGTTTGTTATTTGTTAGAGAGACAGTTTACCAAGATCTGTATTGTTAAGGAACTTGAAACCAGTTCGCCAATTACTGAGCACCAGCTTTGTTGGCATAAGTTTAAATACTAAATATTTAAGAATTTAAAATATAGTAAGCAAGTCATGCCATAAAAGATACCGGGACGATCGGACACCGGTTATAATGAATTACACAATTGGTTGCCAGTTATACAGATTTCAGTGTTGGTGTTGGCATCTTGTCCTCCAATAAATCATGATTAGAGGAGACAAGACTGCACCCCAGTTCTATGCCACATACAGTTGATTTTAATATGTTACAGGATCTCCCCGGGAAGGTCAGAGTTTGGGATTTATCCGGAAGGAAAGAGATTTTCCAGCCGAAGAGAATAGTTTGAGTAAAAACACAATGGGAATTCACAAGGCTTGGAAAGGTGGCATTTTGAACCCTAGGGTAAAAGGTAGTCCTGAAACCGACAATTTTACTATTATTAGAAAGCGCAAGGTCCAGAACACGGTAAGGGAAAGTGTCTAGGATTTTCTTGCCACAGGGACGTTGCAACAGACACACTGCGATCTATTAGCGATGAATATAAACAGACTTACGGTTTTCGAAATAAGAGGTAAATATTACGCTGGTAGCGAGACAGTTTGTTTTCTTCTGTGTCAGATTCTCAAAGATAAAAAGTTAAAAAGGAAAATAGAAAACTCTAGAACACAAAACCATACGAACGCTGGAGACACAATATGCAAATAACCACTTGGGGGCGCCAGAAAAAGTATCTTTCCCTTCCTTTAGTATAGCCGGCAGCGGGAGACTACATCGGCTCGTTGGTCTAGGGGTATGATTCTCGCTTAGGGTGCGAGAGGTCCCGGGTTCAAATCCCGGACGAGCCCTACTTTTTAAAAAACTTCCTTGATGAATTAAAAAGTTTCTGAATCTTAGATTAGAGCAATACACGCAATAAGTATATGTTGGTGCAAAACACGAAACCGAGGTTTTGGTTTTTTTTTTTAACATTACACCGATACCATGAAAAGACAACGTGAAAACGTAGAAGTTTGAAGACATTTTAACACTTTGGAAACGCTGTCCCTACCCCGGCCAGTTCCTGAGTCGCGCGCGTGGGCAAGGGACGCAGAGTTCCGTTCTCGGTTGCCCGCAGGTGTGGTTTAACCACGCCCCACCCCGCGCCCGTCCAGCCGCGGGCCGGGTGCTGGGCGTCGGCAGGTGGACGGCGCGCCCCTTCTCGCGGACCGACCAGTGCTCGGCGCCCTGCCCACGTGCGGCGGGGGTGTTGGGGGGACCAGGACTCTGCACCAGGCGCCTCTCTTTCCCAGCGCGCGTGCTGTAAGGGTACAGCGGTTCTCCCCCTTGCTCTCTGACGCACCGTGGCCATTTGGTACGAATGGATCCCATTCGATTTCTTGCTTCGCAAAATTGGGGGAATCAACATTCGAGCTCAAGGGACCAGAGCACTCTGTTTCATATAAGTGTGAGTAAGAAAAAAAAGAACGAAAGTGTAAAGTGCGGAGGGAAAGAAAGAAAAGCCTGGGCTCGTCCGGGATTTGAACCCGGGACCTCTCGCACCCGAAGCGAGAATCATACCCCTAGACCAACGAGCCACTCTCGGCAGAGCGGTTCCCGGCGCCTCCCTTCAGCCTCGCCCCGCCTCTCGTCGCCTTTCCCGCCGACCCGACCTGCGACCTTTCTCCCACCGCCTGGACCGTGCACCCGCAACGGTGGGCCTCGGAACCCCTCTCGCCTCAGCAAGACCACCCAGCGCCCGGGTCTACGCTGCACACGGCGGTAGCGGCGGGCGCGGAGGCCGCGGCTGGGAGGGTGCGGGGCCCCGCGGGGTGCCGGCCGCGCAGCTTCTCGCCGCCGTCAGTGCTCGCTGGGCGCGAGGGGACCGTCGCGCCTGGCTCAGCCTCCCGTTCGTGCCCTCGGACGGCAGCCCGCTGCTGAAAGCAGGCGGGCGGAGCGGGCGCGGAAGAAACCCCGGAGGAGGGTTAAGAGCTAACTTTCCCAGGGCTGCTTATGGGATCTTGCAGGTACGGAGCTCGCAGGATGTTCGCCACGTCCCGCCCGTAGGCACTACGGGTCTCCCTTTGCAAAGGGAACGCAGGCCCCAGACGCCAGGTAGCTCGCTCGGGGCGGTGGGCTAGAAAGGCTTCGGAAGGGGCGGCAGGTGGGGCGGAGGCGAGAGGCGGCCAGACGGCTGCAGGGGCCTGGAGGACTTCCGGCCCGGGCGCCCCCTGCTGCGGGAGGGCGGGGCCTCGACTCGCCCCGCCCCCGGCGCCCCGCCC